GATTCAGCTTCATTTATTTCAGTTTTGGAATTTTTTCTTGTATTAATTGTATCTCCCTAATGTTTTCTCTACTTTCTTTTTCCACAATGCCTATTATTTGGGTGTTGGACATTCTTCTCTAACCTTTTGTTTTCTTGCCGTTTTCCTTTCCTAGTCCATTTTTATCATTTTTCAGAAGTCTTCTTTATCTTCCAGGTGCATTATTAAATTTGTAAGTTCAGCTCTCATACTTTTGCTTCCAGGAGCTCCTAAATGCTGCTGCTGCTGATTATTATTAGATGGCATCTCGTTCTTGTTTCCTAAAAGTAATGTCTTGAGTTTTTCTCCAGCTTTCTATGTTGTTTTTATTTCCTGTGAGTTTTTTTTTTTTTCGGGGTGGGGGGTGGAAATAGTTATTTATTTATAGTTTTATCCATTTTGGAGGTTTTCCTCAATAAAGGTTGAGACCAGGGTGAACTTGTTCCCCATACTGAATTCGAAACAATTTCCCTGTGTTTATTTCCAATCTCATATGCAGCTCCTTTGGGCTGAAACTGTCTCCAGTGAGCTTTTCTGGATTTCTGAGATGCAAAATAGCTTATTTCTCAGCATTTTCATCCCTACCAACTCTGCAATGGAATCCTCCCTCCTCTGCAAAGTATTTACTGTCCCTTCATTTTCTCTCTGTCTTTGTTGTCTTGGTTACAGATATCTTCTGGTTTCACAAAATATAAACTTTTGTGTTTCTACATCTTTGCTGTTTTGAGGTGGTTTGAGGAATTATTTTCGAGAGAAGGAGGCCATAGACGTGTTTACCATCTTTATCCAAAAGCATTCCACGTCATTTTAGAATGTTTTTCTACTTCCCTGGTGGAAGGCCAGACATGCTGAGCCCCTTGTCAGGATAATGGAATTTAAAGCCAGGAGAGGGACTTGGGGTGTCCCCCAGAGGATCAGTGGATATAGAAGAAAACTGGAAAAACTCAAATCCCACCAAGGAGTTTTCTGAAATGCAGAAAATGGGTAAATGGTCCATTTGAATTAGGGAATTTCCTGTTTGATAATGTCCGTTGCTTGTAACTGGTTGGTCAGAATTAGATTTCACAGAAACATTACGTTTGGATTACAGTGTTAGAATTCTACAGCAAGACGTGCAATGTGATTTGAAGTCCTCAAACTCCCTAACTGTCAGGCTGAATTTTTGTAAGCCATACTTGTTCGGCCTTTGGAAAACAGAAAACTTGGCTGTGTTCTTCTGGCCAGAACAAAGCAGAGTGGGAATAACCATGTCAGATTTAAATCGGGAATGGCAGAATGCAGCCACTTTTTTTTTTTCCCCAAAATGATCAAGGTGAAGGCTAGCCGTTCCCCGGGACCAAGGAGGAAGATCTAAGGCTTGACGTGGGACTTCTTTGGGATTCAGAATGGTGTTCTGGTCACTGCTCTCAAGGTTACTGAAAGAATACTATTTTTAAAAAGGCTTAGTCATTTTGTGTTTGCTGTTTACTGAACTCCAAACGGTATGTATGGTTTGCATTAGCAAGACTTTTGCAAATTGTGTGGAAGGGATTTAAAACAGTTCTCTGGCTTCTATGAAAAATGAACCCCCAGTTCCTGGCTCCTCAGAGTTCCTTGTGGGAGTCCGGGTGTAAAATGATCTTTTACATGCCTGGTTGGAACTGTGAATCGAGCAACATCTGCATGGTTTTTGTTTTAAATAGAATTTTGCATGTAGAACTGAAATTTTCTTTTCCAGCCTTTATTTTTAGTGCAAAGTAGATTGATTCATCATATATACACACTAGTACTCAGAGAAGAATTGTCAATAGATTGAAAGTACGTATTTGAGGAGATCCTGTAGTGATTGCTGTGGGACTATTTTGGAGTCAGGGTTTTCCACTTGCCTTCCAAACATTGTTTGGCGTGAAAGGAAAATTCTCAGTAGCCGAGGTGACAGGCATGCGTTGCCAAGACAGCGTTTTTCCTACACGTGGGACCCTCTGATATGACTTCACGCTCTCAGGAAATGTCCCGACCTCTCCAGATAGTTTATTGATAATATTACCCCTTGAAAAAGCCTCTTACATTACATTTACAGATACATTCTACACTAGAGCACCTTTGGGAGAAGTAACACATTTCCAAAGGCACAAATGTCCTGGACCTGATGGTTAGTCTAACAGGTGGATGCAGAAGAGAGGAGGAGCTGGAGCTTTCCTTCTGTCCTTAAAACAGAAGGAAAGAGCTGATTAAAAGGATTTTTGTAGCGAGACAGACAATACGATTTGAAAACCATAAACTACTTAGCTGTCAGACTCAATCTTTAGAAGCCCAAAGCCAGAAAGGTTGCAGAGCCTAATGGAGGTGAACTTCTCCTGCTTTTCAGTTTTACTGAGGGCAAGCCCTGCAGATGGACCAGGAACAGGACACTTTCCTGTTATCCCTGGTGAAAAGGCAGAATGACAGAGGAGCAGACTGGACCCGGAGTATGGTTTCTCTGGACATCAGGTGAACTCTGGGTTAGAGAGGATAACTCTTCTTTCTCCTAACAAATTCCCATGCATATCCAGACCTAATGAACAGGATTCCCCATCTTGGCCACGTGGCTCCAATTGGGAAGAATAGGCATTACAGTCTTAGAGAAGTGAGCTTATTTACAAAACAAAGACCGACTCACAGATGTAGAAAGCAAACTTACTGTTACTAGAGGGGAAACGAGGTGGGGAGGGATAAATCGGAGTTTGGGATTTATAGATGCTAACTACTATATTCATAAAATAGATAAACAGCAAGAGCCAACTGTATAGCACTGGGAACTATATTCAATACCTTGTAATGGCTTATAATGAAAAAGAATATGAAAAGGAATATGTGTATATATGTATGTATAAATGAATCACTATGCTCTACACTAGAAATTCACACAACATTGTAAATGGCTATACTTCAATAAAAAACAAATTAAAAAAGGAATTACAGCCTTAAGTATTTGCTCACAAGGAGTTTCTAACAGTTTGTAAGGAAGTACTATTTCTTTAAGAGGGTATAAGTGAGAGGGGGAGAAAATCTCAGCTTCTTTAAAAGGAAATGAGGATGGTTGTTAAAAGTAATAGTTTAGAAGTAGATTCTCAACTTCTTTGTAATGCAGGAGAAAAGATTCTGGGTCATGACATTCTCCAGTTTAAAACATACTCTTTAACTCTCTTCTGTCAACAAAGGTGGTTTTTACCTATATGAGAATTCTTTTAAAAGCTCTTCCCATGAAATGCGAGCATGCACGCGTGCACATTTCCACTTTAATTGTAACTTTCAGGAGACTCTAACATTTTCATATGAAAAGCCACAACCTATAGAAAAAATTCAGTTTGCCTTCTAGAGCATCCACAGTTTGGCCCCAATGTACTTCTCCATTAAGTGATTATTTTTGAGACAATATTGTGCCTGGAGAGTATGCTGAGATCTAAGCCAAAGAGATACGTAATAGTCTGTAGATGCTGTGTAAGGAGATCATGAGGCAGTATGCAAGCACTGAAGTGGGCATTACATTTTGTAACCTAACTAAATAGTTTTGTATCTCCTATTGGTTTGTCCTAGAGGGGAATATAATTTAGTCTTTTGGGGTTTCAGTTTCCTCATCTGCCTAACTAAGGGTGGCTGAGCGATCTCTCTCCTTTCTCATTCCTCTGAGTTTCTAGAAGTTATAATGCCAGGTTATCACCACCTCATGTGGGGCCAGTCCCACTGCCAGGAATCATTCATCAGGCTATGATGTGAGGGCCTCATAGAGGATCCAAGCCAAAGAACACAGGACCCTAACTGCCTTGTAGGGAGGCAAGTCCAGGATGTATCTGAGTACAGATCAGCTTCTGCCTCCAGTCAGTTTCTGCCTCCAGTTCTCCTCTTTTCTGGTGGCGCTTTCTCTGATTTCTTTGAGTCTTTGGCCTCAGAGTACCCACTGATTTATTGCTGGGTGGACCCAGTGTCTGTGGACTCCCTGCTGCATTCAATTCCTCTGAGAAGTGGATTTCCTGCCTCTGACTCACTTATCTACCTGGCCCTTCTGGTCATCATAGCCACTCTGTTCAGAGATGTCTTGCCTGCCTGACTCAGCTTGCCCTGCTCCGCTTAGCAGCTGGCTCCTGTGCGGGCCGTGATCCATCTCAGTGTGACACCGCAGTATGGCCTGAGGACAGCCATCCCTTCTTAAGGGCGCCTCTTTCTTAGTCCGCTTGGGCTGCCATAACAAAATACGATAAACTAGGTAAACAGCAGGTTTACCTAGTTCTGGAGGTTCTGGAGGCTGAGAGTCTGAGAGCAGAGTGCCAGCTTGGTTGGGTTCTGGTGAGAGCTCTCCTCCTGGCTTGCAGCTGGCCACCTCCTCACTGTGTGCTCACATGGTGGAGAGACGGGGGCTCTGTTCTCATCCTCTTCTTATAAGTACGCTATGTGGGGCCCCATACTCATGACCTCCTCTAAACCTAATTACTTCCCAAAGGCTCCGTTGCCAAATACCATCACGCTGAGGGTTGGGGCTTCAACATAGTTATTAGGGGAGGGACATAACATTCTCTTTTCTGACCACAGATTAAAAGGGATAAGAGGTGACTTGCAAAGAAAAAGAGAATTTGGGGCAGAGGTAGAAGAGGATCAGAAGTAAGGAGCCTGAGGGTCTTTGAATTTACATTTCACCACTGCTTCCAGCGTTTCTAATTGTAGCTTTAGAGATGCTTTCACGGCCCTCTTCCAAGCACCCTGATGAACACATAACTTTCATACTGAAACATCTTCTAAATTGAGAGGGGAGGTTTTCTGGGGAAATGTTGGGCTTCATTTTGAAACAAATGAAGTGGAGATGGTGGCAGTAATTGAAATAGAAATTAAATTATCCTCCTCCGGATTCTGTAGACCTCCTTTTCCTCAAAGAATCACTTAAAACTTCATGCATCCCTGGCAATATTATGGCTGGAGACAAGAGTCTGTCGTAGATGACAAACATGTAATCTCTATATAATTCCGTCCTTAGGCTCAGCAGAAGCAGAGTGTTCCATGTGGTCGCCTTTCGGACGAAGGTCAAGATGAGCGGAGACCACCAAGCACTTTTCCAGAAGGATATTAGATTTCACTGGAGCCAGAAGCTCAGAAGTGAGTTATTAGAGTTTTGTTTACTATACCCTCTGGCTATAGCCTTAATTAGGTGGAACTGATAAGCTTGATAAATTTTGAACTATTGCTTTCTGTTTGCCAATAACAAAATATTACTGTGTAGGATGTTAGTTATTTTCCACATCAAATCCCTTCTATTTTCCTGAAGATGTCAGTTTCTGTTTCAATGGGTCTTTTGTTTAGAGGGAGGAGACTGTCCTTTTTACCTTTTTTAATTAAAGCACCTTAGTGACTATTACACAATTTCTTCAGACTTGACTCTCACCTCGACTCTTGACCTTCTTCTCTTCAGGGCTCCGAGGTTTTACTCTCTCAGGTAGTAATTAGATCAAGGAAGGGATGCAGACACAGGTTATTTCTTCCCAATTCTCACACATCTTAGTTTGTATTTTCTTTTTCTTTTTCTTTTTTCTTCTTCCCTCCTTTCCTTCCTTTCTTCCCTTCCCATCCTTCCTCTTTCTTTCTATCTATCTTTCTTTCTTTCTTTCTTTTTCTTTCTTTTCTTCTTTCTTTCTTTCTTTCTTTCTTTCTTTCTTTCTCTTTCTTTCTTTCTTCTTTCTTTTCTTTCTTTCATCTGTGAATTAAGCAGATCCTACGGTCAGGAATCTCATACCTATAAACATTATATTCCTGTTATAAAATGTTAAGAAGATATATGGGCAGTATTTTAAGGAACCCCAAACCCTGGGAGTAATAGCAAGAACAACAAGAAAAGCATAGAAAGCAAATATGTGTTTGTTTACGAGTCAGTTGCATACGTAGGTTTATACATACAGTTAGACAGATATGACATGTTGAAATATTTTTAGTGATGTCCTGAAACCATAATTATAATCTTAATGAAACATTTAGTCAAGTTTTAACGGGTCCAAGAATAATTGTTTTACTGTTCTGTTTGGAATGCAAACTTAGAAGTCTAAGAGTTCAGTTAATTATCCCACAGACGGAAGAGTTTGAAAGGAGAAGGATTTTTCTCCAGAGTGGTGTTTAACATAGACTTAAGTCTGGGCTCAGATTCTACAGGCCAGAAAGAGTCCTGCTAACCCCCTCATTCAAATACATCCAGGAAGAATAGCCCAAGTAATCACACCTAGGAAATGAACCGGCTTACTGGGAGGTAAAGGGAAACACCTGGATTTTAGAATTGAGCAGCAGGCGCAGCAAGTGAGATTGCCAAGAATATCCATGGGCAGGAGTAAATCAGCAAGTGTTCAAGGATGAGGCTCGGAGTGGTCACAAGTGAACTTCTCAAAACTGAAGAATGTGAGACAACAGGCTGAAGTGCCCTTTAATTTTACACGGAAAGATTGCTTCCGCGAAGAGTCTATTTAGGAAGATGGCATTTGAATCACTTTTGAAAAAGTTTCTTCCTTTCTGATTTATATCAGAAATCTGACTTCTGGACAGCCTTTAGTTTCAGGATGTTTTCTCTGGTTACCAGCATACTTGCCTGTGGCTGGGCCACTTTGAGAGAAGTACGAGGGAAGGTTGAGGTGGAGAACATATGGTAAGAAAATAAAACTAGGGCTAGAAATGACAAATATATGGGTAAACATAAAAGACTGTATAAATGTATTTTTTTCTTTTCTTCCCTTATGTTCTTCAAAACACATTTTAAATGGTTTAAAGCAATAATTACAGCAGTGTGTTGTTGGGTTGATGACATACATACATGTGATTTATGTGGCAGTAGTAACGTAGGAAGATGGAGGAAATGGCGCTAGACTGAAGTAAAATTCCTGTCTTTTAGCAGAATTCAGTCAGAATCAAACTGAAGTACATTGTTATAGTTTAACATGCATTTTGTAATCCCTAGAAGCAATCACTACAGAAATAACTTTTAAAAAAGAAGCTAAATAAAAAAAAGAATTAAAATGGCCCCCAGAACCCATCTATTTAATACAAAATAAAGTGGTAAAGGAGAAATAAAGGAACAAAAAAGACTTGAGATATGGAAAACAAATAGCAAAATGACAAATGTAAATCTGACCAAATCGATGATTACATTAAATTTGAGTGGACTAATCATTCTAATTAAAAGACAGAGATTTCTAGCAGCGATTAAAGAGCAGAATCGAACACTATGCTGTCTGTCACAAATACACTTCAGAATACAAGGCACAAATAGATTGAATGTAAAAAGGTAGAGAAAGGATATACTATGCAAGTAACAACCATAAGAGAACTTGAGTGGTTGTATTGCTATAAGACAAGATAGTCCTTAGTCAAAAATTGTTACTGGAGACAAAGAGGGACATTTTATAATGATAAAAGGGTGCTCGCTTTGGCAACACAGATACTAAAATTGGAACGATACAGAGATTATTAGCATGGCCCCT